CAGGATATGTTTGCAGAGCACTATTATTATTATTATTATTATTATTATTATTATTATTATTATTATTATTACATTTCTATGCCGCCCCTTGCCGAAACCTCGGGGCGGCTTACAACATGATAAAATACATTGAAATACAATAGTACATAATAAATTACCATTAAATATAAAAATACAAAAAATGCTGAGGAAAGCTGTATTCTTCTAAAAAGTAGACCTCTGTGGTACATCTAAGTAAACACATGCAGAATAGCACTGTAACGTAGTATGGATCCAAACTGCTAAATCTGCATTGGGATCTACATGGTCAACAGTGAGATTCAGGCAATTTACAGTAATGATTTCATTCAACTCTGCAGCAGCCCATGAAAAGGAGTTCATTATTTTTAAGAACAAATGGGAACTGAGAGACAGTCAGTGCAGCTGAATCCAGGTGCAAGAGAAGCCCTACTTACTGACACACAGTGGCTCTCTGTTCAATTGATTTGTGTAAAACTATTTAAATGCAGTGTTATTCCAAACCTAGTCTGGATTAGTAAGTCAAAACATCAGTATCAACTGCAGTAATTTTGAACAGCATTCCCCAATCTGGCATTCTCCAGATGGATGGGACACAAAGTCAGCATCCCCAGTGGAATATCTAGAAGGTGCTAAGTTAGAGAAGCCCGTTCTATGCTTGTGTCTCTCTGCAACATGTGGTTGTACCCTTTCAGACTGGTAAGCAATACAGTACTTATGTAAAACTGTATGTATCCATCCCTGTAGATAAATGACTATGTCTTTATCTCAACATTAGTTGATTAAATGTACAGGCTACAAATATACTCCAGAGTTAAGTGGATAACTGGCATTTCTTGACAAAATACAACTTGAGCAGAAAGGTCTGGGTCATGCATTACTTTAATAGATTTTTGTTTTCTTGTTGGATGAAATTTCTAGTTAAGATCTGAGAAACATGTTTTGTTTTTCTCAAAACGTCTCTGATCATTTTCACGAATTCCTACTTGGTATTAATAATACAATACCAAACATAGTTTGTATGTATTGACAGTTCTGGAAGTGCTCCAGTAAAGAGTTGCAGATATATTTCATTTTGGGGGACAGTTAGCCTTGTGTAGCATTAGTATGCACTGAATTAGAAACAAAAATAAGCATAGTGACAGGCATCCTCTGAGGTATGGCACTCATCATCCCAGTAAATGTTATTTATTGCTGTCACAATAGGAGAATGGAAGTCTCATTGGCAGAATATCTAGTCATAAGCTGAGTGCATGAATCTAGTGTTGTATTATAAAGCAAGAACCAAAAGGCCTGGTAATATACTCAACACAGCGTCATAATCATTTGAATCAGGCACAGGGAATTACACAGTTTTACAATTTGCAATCATCACATCACAAATTAGCTCTCCCCTTTGCCAGGAAGCCTCTGACCACAATGAAACTTGCAAATGAACGTTCAAAATTTATGTACAGTTTGTGGAGCAAAAAAAGGATCAGGATTTCGAATTGGCTGCCTCTTGCAGCCACATTTGCTTTTAAAAAGCTCAATTATTATTTTTTTAAATCCTAATTTCTGCAGTGCATAACCACTAAAATTGGAGGTTTTTTTTACGGTCCCATCATCCTTAAATTCTAATTTATGTTCACATTTTAACACTGTTTTGAAAACTTAGCAAGAAATAGGGGGAAACATTAAATATCAGATTCCTCTGTTGCTATTTTAAAATATTTTTATTTATTTTTATTTTTGCAGCATCACTTCTGAATATTACTGTCACGTTAAATTCCTCTGTGTATTACAAAATGTTAATGTTTTATTATATAGAGAACCATGCAAAGATTATTCTTGCATAAAAGTCAGAATAAAACAAACCAAAAAAATCAGCTCATAGCAAAGACCAAGTAGGGATTTAGATGAACACTTTTTATAGCTGGCTTATGATCACAAATATCATTCATCTGGAAAGGATGTGCAGTCACTATGTTCCTATTTATTACTGCCACATTTTTTTTCTTTTTAAATGACAGTCGAGGACTATAATCCTGTGAACTTTCCATCTGCCAGAAATATAAGAGAACGTAAGAAACAACAAAATGTACTTGTATATGAATAATGTACATCTCGAGGATTTGGAGCACAAAGGCAAACTTGAATAGCCCTAGTTGATGCCAAGGAAATCTTTGCATGTAAAATTACAGCACTTCATATTCAATGTCGTATGAAAGTCTGCAATACTGCATCTGACTTAATACAGGTTTTGTGTCCAGCACTGTTTATAATGGGAAACGGGCAGTTAGATGCCCAAAACATAGTCATAAATTAAAGGAGCCCAAATGTTGTATAGATTCATTGTTAAATGCACCTGAACTCCTGCCTTTATAAGTGCCATTGTTTTCAATACTATGAATGTTTCGGAAAAGTGTGGAATCTGCTGAAACATAGGAAGGGAAAAAAACCCTAATATTTGGGGGACCAGATTTCCTCACAAAAATGTTATTGGTAGGAGCTCCAAATATATATTTTGACTGCTTTCGTTATAGCGGGCACTACTGTTATTTAAATTTACTGCATTAAAATAATGTTTTGTGCCTACACAAGTATTTTATCTTTGCGCTGATATTACATGCTTCCTACAACTTATAATACTTATGCTCAATTCCTTATCAACAGACTAAAATTTCCTCAGGATTGATGTCAACAGGGAACTGATATATGATCAGAAAGTAATAAGCAATAGCTAAGATCAAGCCCATGTTGAATTTATGACACCATTTTGGAACTGCACACATTAGTGTCTCTCAACGCCTGCATCTTTCATTTAAACCACTAGATGGCATAAAACTGTGCTGGATTTTATTTTTTTTTAAGCACAAGAATGATCCAAGTGTCATAAAGCTTGAAACATTAACTGAAGGCATTAAGAAATATTTGTTCAAGTCTTTAATCTTTGGAGACTCTAGATTATATTTTACCTTGATTGTATTCTTAACAAACTCTTTGTCTGTAACATTCAGTCCTTGCTCAGAAAAAGTACAGATAGATTATTCACTGGCATTTTGCTTTCCAGAGTCTCTAAACTCAGTTCTGACATGAAACCTCATTTTGCTGAAAAAAATTGCAATGACTTAACTGAAAGTGGGTTGAATTTTGACTAAATTTCTTTGAAGCTTTGGAGAAAAAATGATTCCTGAGAAGATAATGTCCATATATCTGGACTAGCTGCAGCAGACAAAAATATAATGCCAAGGACCAAACACACATAAACAAGGAATGACAGAGGATAGAGGTGAAGGGAAAGATTCACTTTACCTCATGCTTTCACTTGTGGGTCAAATGAGCCATTAATCTGGCCATTAAAAAGCTGCATGCAATATAAGTATAGAATAGTAGAGTGGTTAAAGAGGAGCTTAACACATTATAGGAAACTGGATTTACTCTTCGTTTACTCAGTTAAGTGAAACGTCTAGCATTCATAAGTACAAAATAAAAGTATATGGATGCAATCCTATGCACACTTTCTTGAAAGCAATCGCCACTGAATATAATGGAAGTTAGTTCCCACTAAACACGTGCAGAATAGCACACTACAGCTACGTATCAAGAAGTTGTCTGCTATGTTTAGGAATGAAAGAGTGAGAAATAATGCTTGGTCTGAACCTAGGAGAACTGGGTTCTAATTCCTGCTGTGCTCGGGTACACTGAAAGGCATTAGGTAGGTCCAGTCTTCAATCTGCAACATAGGAAACCTCACAAGGCTATACGGATATGCAAGCTAAAGATTAGCAAACACAGGGGCATTAAGAATAACTATTTTATTTGCTATATTTACATTTCTAAATAGAAGACAGGCAGAGATACATTGTTGTTAGCAAAATGATTCCTGGTATGAATGTTTTTAGCTACTGTTACATTAATTTAATTTATGCTTTGTTGAGAAGGAGGGGTACAGTGCAAGTATATTCCATGACAATGCAAGTCTGCCAGTTCTACAGATATCAGTGAGGAAGCCAAATCAGCAAATGCTTAGAGTGCTGTTGGGCTCCCAAGCCACAGCAGTTCTTCAGCACTGGACTGCCCTCCAGTTTCTCTGTGCCGAAAACTGAACAGTTCAGCAAAGGTTATTGCCAGCCATGGCAGGACAGAAAGGTGCCTTATGGAAGCAACTTGAGTGGCGCTAATAGCCTAATTCTATATATCTACATGGGATTTGCAGGGAGGGAATCTGCCGAATTCAGTAGGGATTACAGGCAGATAAATGTGTCATTATAGCTATGATGAATGAAAATGAAAGTGATTTTACAATGGGCACTGCTGAAGGTTCTAAGTCTTTTTTCTTGCTAAACAAGTACAGGACTGTGCCCTTAATTTTGTGAATGTGGAGTTTTAGGTCAGGCAGTTGTGTGAATTGCTGTCATAGAGAATTCTGCCTTCTTCAGCAAATGTAGAAAAACTCACCTACTTTAGTTCACAGGCATTAACAGAAAAGAGAGAAGGAAATAGTGGGCTGAAGGTCAACTGAATGTGTCAGAGCAGCAGCACATTCTGCACCGAACTCTCCATCTCTCTTTGTCTAGCTGCTCTTAAGGCTGAATTGTGATATGAAAGCAATTGAGAAAATTCAAAATCAGCATGTACAAATACCCAGAAACAGGAAGCAAAACAAACACACACACCATTCAGTAGCTGACAAGGCTAAATTTTGCATGCAATAAGTGCATTGTCTCTGCGGGAAGTCACTTAGCTGTGGCTAGCCAAGATTCCAAGCAGAGATAAACATACTTTAAGGACAATTCCTGTTGTACAATAACACTTCGCATGTGATTACATTCAATTGACAAAATAATTAATGAGCAAGGAATTTCTGATTGAATTTGAAGGATGTCAAGGAAATGCCAATCTCTCCACACCCTCAAAGGCTGTGTGCTTTTTACTTTTCTGTTTTTTTATGGCAACTATCCCACTCCATACCTATCTATGCTCTCTGTAGGATATAATACCTTGCTGAGAATGTAGATAACGTCTCCGCGTTTGAATGTCAGCTCATCAGGAACATCTCCAGTACAGTCCCACACCCCTTGATAGAAATTAGCATAATCGGTTTTTTTATTGCCTGGGGAAGAAAAAGGTGCATACATTAGATTTGTCAGCATATGTGATTTGGGGCTTTGTTATCAAGGTTACAAATATATTTCTACTGAAAGGAAGATCTGCTGAAGAACATTTTCCAGGTTCGGGAAAAAATATCCTAAGGAGCTCACTTCTGCTCGTCAGTTCCTCATGCAAGCAATGCAGAAAATACGACAAACACGTTCCATTTCTTGTGGGGGTTGAAAATGCTTTTTGTAAAACATGCAGCTACAAGCTCTCACAATATAGCACAGAGCAAGCAGCATGTATATTCATATACACACAGAAAAAGGTATCTCTCTGTGTTGGCAGGTGCGAGGGGAACTATGAGAACATTAAGGAAACCTACGACAAGAAAGCATGCACAATGCGGTGTCTTGTCTTAAAAAAATAAAACTTTTTCTGAAAATATTTTGCATTTTGAGAGCTAAAGCTGCAAGATTTTAATCTCTATAGAGATAACCTTACTGAAACTGCATTTTTAAAAATTGTATCAGTACCAGCGTAGGACATTAAGTTCTGGCTAAATATGCAACACACACTGTAGCCATAAGCTCATCTTTCTAAGAACATAAGCACAACGAATGCGCTACGTTCAAACTGCCATACAGACCATTAACTGATTGATTATTTTAGCACTGTTTGCTCTGTAATGCCACCATAACAGAGTAATAAATGCTTTGTCATATGCTTACCATATAGAGAAGCATTTACTGGAGAACATGGCTGAAATGCATTGGAAGCTTCTGTGTGTGTGGCAAACTATTTCTTGTTTTCAATTTCAGATGAAATGGATAGATGACTTAACCCAAAAAGAATGAAGCAACTCCAATGAAACGAACAGATACATTATGTTTACATGAACCAGACTGGATATAAATATACTAATCAGATACATCTTTTAATTTCAAGATAAAAATCCCAAAATTGATTGGACTAGGAGAATACATTTTCATTTTCTTATAAGAGAGACATATGGACAAACTGCTAATCTACAAAACTTGTCAGCAACACTTAAATGTTCTTAGAATACTAAATCATTATCTGTATCTTGCTGCATAATTTCATATAGTTGATACATATAACTATACATATACATAATTTCATATAGTTGATACATATACATCACCAAAAGCAAGGTGGATACAATATTTAAGAAAATATGGTCATCCAGTTGTAATGATTATCGGCATTTGACCCCTCAATAGGTTTACATTTCACAGCTCCCTAAAGCTGCAAGACAACAAATACTTTCCAATGCTGAATTTGCTGCAATTCATGGGACATCATAGATAGATGTTTCATTAAACCAAATCCATCTCACAGCAAAAATGTCCATTTTCATAGTGTACCTTGAAGGTTTCATTCTTTCTAAAAAGAAATGGCTTAATTTCTATTGTATAACAGTAGAGGGCACTCAGGATGGCAGTATGCACAGTGTATAGGATTCTGCATGCACAGGTTATGTTAACAATGCCATTTTTTGTGAACTATTTGCTTACCTCTGTTAAATATCCATATCATATGCATGAATTCATATCTCATGAGGTTATAGAAACAGCTGATCAAAGTAGGAAAATTCTGCTTCACAGAATCTATTCACTATCTTACTCTCTGTTCACACTCACACTAGAGCTATGATTTAAAAGATGGTATTGGCTTAATAATGGCCATATTTAATCTCCAGAGTTTTTGCAGAAGTATCTGGGCAAAGGCTGATAAGTGGAGGTTTTTTCTGCACAAGTTCTCAGGTACAGTCCCTGGCATCCCCAGGTAAGGCAGACAAAGACCCCTGCCCCAAACCCTAGAGTGCTACTGCCAGTCACAGTAGTTTGGAATGAGAAAAACTACTGGTTTGACAGGGTGATGCATCTTCCTGTGTTCTAGAAGCAACTAGATAACCTAGGGGCTTGCAGGTGAGCTTACGGAAACAGGAAAATAAAGGAAAGAAACACAATTAATATAATGGTAGGGTGTTGTAAAGTACAGGACATGAGGACAAGCTAAGACAGAAATAGTGCATCTGTGTAGGGACAAAGACATGATTGCCCTAATTAAATTACTTGGCAGGGACATCTAGTTCATAAGATCCTGGAACTGATGGGTCCAGAAGTCTAATGAGCCCTGCAGCCCTCTTCCCAGACCTGGCCCTCTACATATACAGAATACTGCAAATCAGATTAGATATTGAACTCCTGAAGCAAAGAACAGGAATTTCCAAATGGCAATCCTGAATGTGAAACAATACCTGCTACCAAGATATGGTGTAATTTACGGTCCATGTACAGAATTACTGTTCACCCATGTAGTGTTTACCATTTTGTGTCTGTGTGTCTGTGTTTTGGCTGAAACAAGACTTCCATACATAAGGAGCAGAGCCTTGGCATGTTGGGGAATTTTCTCACATTTGAGCCTCCAACTAGCTGGTCACTTCTAGCCTTAAGGAAGTAAGTTGAGGCTACTTTGCTTCACCAGGTCTCAGGGATTCATATTTTTTGAAGCTGCATTCTGTACAATTCCAGTGGGTTTGACAGCAATGATTTCAACATGATTTTCTATTCAGCTTTATATTGCCATCTTGGCAACCCAGTAATGAATGGAAAAGTAAGAGGAATAGTACAAACAATATCTTTAAAATAGGTCTGATCAAAGTTAATGAACATCATCTAGCTGGCATCTTCAAGAGAAATAAACCCACAACAAAGGAGATACAGTTTCTGCTAGACTGGAGTGGTCCACATGCGGTCCCCAAATTTGGAAGAAAAAAATACAAAGATTTGGTTTTCCATTTGCTCTGCTGTCTCTCATGTCTAACTTTTGGCTTGTAACCTCCTTAAACTATGGATAAGCAGCATGCACATAGTTGATACCATATATTCTAATGCACTTTTAAAGTGTCACGTATGTGTACAACTAAATAGTCAGATCTGTATTGACATGCGGAGATACTTTAGAGTGTGGTCCACATAGAAGAGTTGGTCAAAGACTCCAAAACCTTTGTAAGCAGGGTTAAGAAGATCCACCCTTTGCTCCTCAGTAAAAACTGTGTTTCTCTGGGAACGTTGATAGAGTGTTGCTTGTGACATCCCATACTAGTGCAGGTTGAAGAACTATTGGGACATGGATAAACAACAGAACTGATATAGCAAAGGCTCATTTTTCTTCCCCCCCCCCCCAAGTCTGTAATTCAAACTGTTTTGTTTCAGTGGGGTTTCAAATCAACATGACCTACTCTCAAGAAGGATTGCAATCTAAGTATCATTTATGTTGATTATGAAACCATTTTATCTTCTTTTAATCAAGGCTAAACTGCAAGAGCTAAAGGGGGGGAACCTTTGTTCTTGGTATGCAAATGCCAACAGTTTGAAATCTGGAAAAAAAACAGGTAGCTCTTCCTCCCACATGGAAGTTCTAACCTAGTGCCATTACTGCCACAAAAGCAGGAACTGCAGGACACGTTCCATGTCAATAACTAACATGTTTTGCTGGGCTTGCAAGACCGAGCTAGACATGACGCAAGAGATCAGAAAACAGGATTACCTGATTTTTTTTTTTTTTTTTTTAAGCAGCAATAGTGGTTGCAGGGCTCCCAGCATGGATTAGGACTGTGGTGCTGGAGGGGATGCTTATCTCTTTGAACACCCCTGTCATTTTCTTAACAAACAAACAAACCCAGTTTGTTTTGGGAGACATCTTAAACTGAGACAATGGTGGATGTGAAAGGTTAGCCCCTGTCCTCCAGCACTGCAAAAGCTGTAAGAAATGCTGTTTGAGACTTTCCTGGCCTCAGGAGCCTTTCCTCTGCTTTCCCCCACAGCTGCTATGGTATGTGCCAATAGCAACTGGTAGGAAATGCTGGGTGTGCATAATTAGCAAGGGATCTGTGCAATACGTAAAGGCAGCTGCCTAAATTTGGGGAACCCTAGAATGGCACCAGACAAGTTACTTACGTGAAATCCAAACACAAGTATCAATGTAAGACTGGCTCCATCAATCTACTGGTATGTACATATTAACTGTTACTGTGTAATCCTATTTTTACAGTTTAATATATGAACAAGTTTTTATGTAAGGCATGGTTGCCGAAAGCCACTTTGTATGATTTTGTATGCAACACATTTAAAGTCACTAATGAAATGATTTCTTTTTAATCATCTACACGCATAGCTAACTTTACAGGAATAAGTACCACAAGAATGCAAGAAGCTGTTAACCATAGATTAACTTCTGCCAGAATATCAGAAGCCACATCTTGGCCAAAATGCAGAGAAAATGTGTCAAAAATACCTTGGGAGAGCTCTACCCTTAAAGAGGCTTTAAAATAATTTAAACAAAAATGCTACTCTGTGTAGGGGGAGGGGAGTAATGGCTGTGTAACTCTTTGGATTATTATTTTAACTTTGACAAGACTGACAGTGTACTCTTATGTATGTGTTTGCTAGAAGTGCTCTTGAGTTTAATTAGACTTGCTCCCAGGTAAATGTGTACAGGATTGCAGCCTCAGATTCTCACTACAAAAAGAAAATGTGTGTGAAGAAAGAAGGAGACTTTTCCATCAATACAAATCCAAAAACACATCTGTCCATAAGGAAAGTGCAACCTGAGTAAGGACTAGCTTGTGTTAAGCCTAAAACATATGTTGCTTATTTGCTCAAGTCACACAGGTATACAAATAGAAACCTCTGTGTATAATATTGTTGGAAACAAGGGCTTAATGTGAAAAACATCTTACATTCTTAAGGAAGGTTAGAATAAGTTCATGTCATGCGATCTCTAGTAAGGCAGAAATACTCTTTGTCAGCCCACTATTCTATATAACAAACAAACTTCTAGCATTACACATTTAACTGTCCTGAAAAGCTCAGAGGTCACTGCTATGGTGAAGTGTTAAAACCACTGCTTGAAATGATTTTCACGTCAAGGGATAATTATGATGGTGCTTTATTTCAAGGATATTGTATGAAGCCTACTTAAATTTATAGGTCAGCTCATAAAAATTTAAGACCATGCTAACGAAGGAAAACATTAATATTTTACGACAGGGACAGGTCACTTTTTCAACACAGAGTGTGCTGGAAACATGAGCTCAGTTGTATATTATTTATATGCAACAGCCATAATTTGCATAGAATTTGCATGAATTCCAGACCACAGCTGCTGATAGAACTAGCCTATTGGAATAGTTGTGTAATTTCTAATAAGGAGATAACCATTTTAAGGATGTTCAAAAGATTAAAGTTGTAAATACTTTGGAAAGATTAAAAGTCCCACTCTTTAAAGACTTACATATGGAAACAGTAATGTTCCTGTATACACAAAGTAACTTACTCCCTTTTGAGGAAAAGCATTTGGTGCTTTCTAGATTGCAGGGGGAAGTCTCATGATAGAAGTTTACAAAATGCTACACTCTCATAGGAGAAGAAATGGAGTGGCTTCCCAAAATGATGCAAGTGAGACAAGAGAAAAAGAGTTGCTTCAAGACAATTTATTGTTAAGTCTAGGCAAGATGCTGTGAAGGCAATTTGCTCAGGTGGCTTTAAAGGGGGATTAGAAAAATTATGACAGATGGATTTATCAGTGGTTATTGGGGATGACATATAAATGTATTTGTTTGGAATTCTTATATGCTGTTTGTCAAAAAGAAAGAAGGACGGACGGAAGGAAGGAAAGTAAGTCCCAAGAACAGTGTGACATATGAACATGCTCTCAGTGATGCAGTTTACTGTCTTAAGCTTCCACCCTCCAAGCAAAGGATCAAGCTCTCTCACTTTATGCCTGACAGGCAGAACCTTTCTAGACCAGCAGCTGTTCACAGGAAACACTGATTCTCTATACTTACTCCCTCACACAAGCCCAAATTGACTGTGGGATCAGACCATGACAAGGCTCTTTCTGCCACAGTTCTTCCGTCAGACATCTGACCTTAAAGCAGTCAGGCTCTTGTGCCGAACCTCTGCTTTCAGTCCTTCTGCCACTGAATGGCCATGCCATGGGCACGGGGTCAACACAGAAACCACACACCCTACACATGAGATTCTTGGAGGCATCTGCCCAGCAAAAGCAAGATTAGATTAATATTTGTTCTGATCCAACAAGGCTCTTCTAATGTCCTTGGAAGACAATTTAGCAACACGTTGCAACAAATACTTCCCATTGGCAGTTAGCAATTCCACGGCTGCAAGTCATACCCACTTCATCCAAATGGGAAAAAAAATCCTAAATCCCACTGAAAACAATAAAAATCTAAGAAACAGATTCCATTCAAGCTTAAGCCTTCGGGACTGTTAATTCCTCACCTCCATGAGGTCTGGAAATATACTTTTAACTTGAGAATGCTTTAATTTGCTTAAATTTAATTTCATTATTATCAGGATTCATTCTAACAAATGTGAGGCTGCATAAATACCACAAGGCTTACACACATTTTGCAAGCTCACCACTGCCTAGAACAGCCTTCCTATGAAAGGGGTGACATTTTCTGATCATGTTACTAGCTACTGTTGAACTTTATTAAGGCTACAATTCTATGTATTCCTACTACAATGTATACCAATTTCAATTCAGTTAATTAAACTTCTGAACTTGTGCTTTTTGAAATCTCCAAAACAAACCCAGTCATTTTGAGAAAAGCTCACATATTCCTGACTTTGTATTTAAAATCATGTTTAAAGATGCAAGCTAGAAAAATGTCCAATTTAAAAATGCACAACTTGGAAAAAACACACATTTACATGTTTTTGTCGAGGAGAAAAAGTGCACATTTGGGTGCATGCTTTCAAAGCAGTACACCCAGATGCACACCTTTCCTATTCAAACACCACAACCCACATTTCAGAAGGGGAATGGGGCAAACTCTGGTTTCATGTAGATTTGGAGAATCTCTGTAAGTTCAAGCCATGTTGATTTTCTAGTTCCCATAAGGGAGTAAGTCCTATTGAACTCAGTGTAACCTTATAATTTATGTATTTGGTTATTTATTTACAAATACTTTTAGGCCACCTTTAAGAAAAAGGACTTTGAAATGGGTCTGGCCAATATCATAGTAATTTAGGCATATATTTAGCATGGCTACTGAAAAGCCAATCTGACAGTGAAAAATGTTTTTTAATCCTTGCGTTGTAGAGGACCATTCTTGAAGGCAATATCTGATGACTCAAATCTTTGCTTCCTCTGCAGTGAATGTAAACCAAACTGTCTACAACAACCTGCTCATATAGTTTCCTGTGACAGGCCGGAAATCAGGCCTGTTTCCTCTCCCCAAGCTATAAGAGGAAGGGCATGGCAAAGACACTTCCCGAACACACTCCTCATCCACCCTCTCTTTGACAGTAGTGGAAGAATGATGTGAAGCAAGTATGCCAGGAAAGATAACCCAAAGTTCATTTCTTACAGGGCATGGTTACTACAGCACACCACTTGCTCATGGAGTATAAACATGTACCTCAAAAGGAACAAGTGTTGGCTGTTCTAGTCAAAAACTTAACCCAAGTGTGCCACGGGAATAAGTTCCTAAAGTAGAAGTTAACGTGCTTTTTCAGACAAGCAGGGAAAACTGTTCTTACCCAAGGGCTTCACATATTGCATACAATTTCTCCTGCCCCCATCACATCTCAGTGTTAATTAGCACACAAGTGCACGTTGCCAACACAAAGCATAGGAATCTGCCTCTTCTCCACACTTCTTGGGCATTGCCGATTTTTATGCTGCCGCCACCTTTGCTTTTGCTATCACTGGACGTTGGCATTTCTTAGCCCAGTTCATTTGCTTTCTGGGGTATAATCATATGCAATGAAGATATGCATGGCCAACATTTAAACAGGCTGCAGATCAATTAGTGGTCTTAAGTTTATCTGATTTTTATCAAAGAAGACAGAGCTGCAGGTCGATCGTCAGAGCCTGTGTCAAGATGACCTTTTCAGAGACGTCTACATTGCTGGTCCCTTGGGCAACTTGTTGTCCCCTGTTAGTCTCTGAATGACAGAAGTCTGTTCTGCTCAAGCACAAAGTATACACAGATGTCTATATTACATTCTTATAGGTTTGACAGCAACTGCATGTTGTATCTATAAACTGTCCTTTAGCAGTGACACTTCCTCAATGATGATAAGCTAATTTATGCAGCTAAATCTCCTTTGTGAAGAAATGAAAGCTAATTGAGTCATTACAAAGTAATTCAGGAAGGAATACCTTGTATAAATTGGCTTACTTTATAAATCCTTCTCAAGTGATTTTCATGCATCCTAAATGGTGTGATTCAGATTCCTGCCTCCCCGACATCTTTTGTTGCCATAAAAAAATCAGTTAAGAACTTGCTGGAACTTCAGACCTACTATTTGTACTTAGGGGAAGACAAACACTGAAAAGTCAATGTAAAGCAACAGAGACAAAATACAGGCAAAGCAGAAAACGTACCTGAAACATTGCTAACAATCTCCTGGCTCTGTTTCTTTGGCTCTTTGATCTTCGCTGGCACAACGGGTGCTGCTTCTTCTTCTGCAGACACAAGCAGAATGTTCAACAGACATGTAAGTCTATAAGAATTGCAGCCCAAGGCAGTTTAGAAAATAAGAGGCTTATCTGTTGTAAATGGTATTTAAAAAAAAATCTCAGAGAGACCAAGTGCCTAACACTGTCAGCACACTGAAACAGGGCTAAATATTTAGGACATCTTTGATAACAGAAACCTACATTATGAACTAGAATACACTGCTATGTATTCATTTTTCCCAAGGGAAAAAGGTGACTGACAGTGCAATCCTATGTACATCTACTGGGAAGTAAGACCCAACAGGTTCAATGGGACTTACTCTCAGGTAAATTGGCATAGGATTGCAGCCTGAATGTCATTATGGGGGTCTCCAGCCAGCCTTTTTAGTTCCAATAGTCACATCAGGTTTTGAAATACTTAAATCTATCAACAAAGTGACTTTCCCCGCTTCATTATTCCCAAAGCCACCATTTCATTAGAGTTCACCCTCCCCTGGTGAGAGGCAATAGCAGACCCAAGAACTCTTGTTGCCAGATGTGGAGCCCAAATTGCACCCCTGCTTGCTTTCATCCATGTGACACACTTGAAACTTTACACTTGCTTCATTGTTGTTATAGCCATGTATAACAATGTTTGCATGTGTACATACACACACACACACCACTAAGATTATACAATTAAGTTCATACAAGCTAACACTGATATTTTAAAAAAATCCCAAAAGGTTGGCTATGACCTAAAAACACAGCTGTTCTGGTTAATTTACTCTTTTGCTTCATTCATTTGTACATTGCCAGTACAATTTTGCTGCAAGCTGGTGGCTCTCCCAGAGTCCACTCTTATGCTATGCAAATTGGCCAAAGCCTGTGGGATGCTCAGAGCACAGGAAAAGTCCCTCGGGGGGTGGCTGCATCGCTACCTTGGGAAACCCCATTGAAGCAGCCGCTCTAACACAACCCACTGGTGACTTCATGCACAACCTGCCAGAGCTGCACAGGATGCAGCCACAGAGAAAAGCAACTGCAGTTTCCAACTACTCTTCAAAGCAGCCCATAATGAGAACACTGCAGCACTCAGTTCTTGAGATCACCAAATTACTACATGACTGGTAACTGTGGAGGACCCTTTCCTAAGTTCCTTCTACCAGCTACAGCCTGGGGTTTGTTAAAGACATAGTTGATAAACGCTACTCCTACATAAGCCTCAGGTTGGGATTCCGGGTGTGGCACCACATCCAGCAGTATATCAAGACCATGTACAAAATTCCTTAAGGGCAAGGGTACTCCATCAGTTCTAAGTCCCCAAGAGAACTTGGCTGTTGTTGCAATCTTTGTGTCCAAATGCAGTATGTTTAAACCCCATTCTTTGAATCACAACAGCTATATGAACAGAGGCTTAACAGCACTGAGACAACTCCTATTTGTGGTATATCCCACATATGTCAAATACTCTCTGCAATGCAGCAGACTACACTTCCTGTCCCACAGTGGCCTTATAGGATGCTTTTAAAAAGTCACAGACAGATTGTAGCAGTTGCATCTTGGAGATAAAGGACACAGCCCACCAGCACTGTGAGGGCTCAGATCAATGCCCAACAGTCAATGAGCAACTAGTAGGACTGTGGCTGAAACAAAGCGGATGGCCTAAAGTCAACATGGATAACTCATCTGTGCTAACAATATTTTAAAAGGCAATACATGGCATGTAGCTTTTACATTTTATTTCACAGTTAGTAGCTCAAGCAAGGGTTGAGGCCAGTATGCTGAATTTGGATGTGGGAAACCCTGGGTGAATCAGGACAATCCGTCTACCTGACACCCTACCAGATAAGTTTTCTGTTCCAGCAGAGTAGCATCACTTCATACACAGGCCATGCTATGGAAATGCTGACCGGCTGTAGAGTTTCCTGTTGCCCCACAGTAACAAAGCACAAACAAGACAAAAATGCTTTTCTATATACTGTCAAGAGCACCAGGAGGCACTCTCATCCTGCAGCTCATCTCCCAGGAACAAACATCTGCATCCCCTCCTTTGGTTTCCACTGGGCATCATGTTCCTAATTATGCTACATTGAATAACCATGTAATAATAAGCAGCACCCTGGAAAAGAAAGCTTTGGCTACTAAAACACTGTCAAGCTAGTTCATGTTGCAGTTTAGGCAATGAAGCCAGCAGCTCTTCAAAACTACTGCAGAGTCTCATTCCTCTAGCCTCCTAGGCAACGTATCAAGCGTCAATGAAAAAAGTTTGGGTCTCCCACATCTTTGTAAGATCAGGCCTGTTATTTCCACTGTCCCCAACTGTTTATTTGTAGAGCATTGCTGATTTTCAAGAGGACTTTCAAAGGAATGTAAGGGCTGTATGTGTGCATACATGCCTGAGCAAATAAAGAGAAGAGAAAAGGGCCTGCCCCGAAGTCATCTTAGTGGTTACAGACAAATATAAAATGTAAAAAGATCTTGTGGCATTTTAAAGATGAACAAACTGTCATGGACTACATCTTCTTTCTTCAAGTGTACATGTGGGCATGTGTGTGGGGAGAGGGAAGTTTAGAAAAGAAGTTGTAAACAGTGAGGACAAAAAAAAGATAATGTGCAAGTAGTACACCCTGTCGCATATCTGCATGAGCCTCAATTGGATAAAAGGCAAGTACAGTAACCTGGAAGAAAAATTCAAATGAGATGAATGTAGAAATATGTGCAAGTTAAGTCCTCATAATGTATGTCTGCCACAAGACAGGTAATCTTCCAGATAAATATGTATTAATGCAAGCAATCCTACCCGACCCTCCTCCCAAAGCTTTGATATTCATTACAAAGATACCCACACATTAGCCCTAATTAATAACACAGCTAATAACAACAAGCACTCTATTGTACTACATTAGTTAAGAGACACCATGTCATCGTGCCATATTAATTAATACCTCAGATAACAACAGTATGTGGGTTAATATATTCTACTCAATGCTTTAATAACAGTAAACAAAAACAGCTGAGGTATGCAGTAAAATCCATCAAACTACACAGATGGTTATAAGGTTTTCATTATGTGGTTTCCATAGCAATCATATTGCAAATCTGGAAGCTCCTTGCAAGTAAGCAGCTTGTATTTACATGCCTTTCAGCTGCACCATGGAACTCTTCAGCGTGTGAAGTTATTATTCCAATCACACTAGAAGGATCATCAGAATACAATTAGATCAACCAGAATGACTGCAGACCAGTTTTTGTACAAAATATGCATTTGGGACAAATTTCATACTTGTAGCATCCTAAAATGAAGGCTTCTGAAAATTTGGTGTGATTCGCACCATGTTAAGAGGTACACTTGGCCTGTTTTAAAATGGGGCATTCTGTCAGAAAAATGACAAGAATTTTGAAGAAACGTCTTCCAAGGCCAGGGGCCATTTGATGGAGCCCTAAGCAAGGTGCTTTGGTACCTCATGTGCCCATACACACAGAAGTACTCCATGTACCCTAGCACGCAAAAATGAACAAGAAAGGAAACAGGAAGGAGCAAACAAGGAGAACTCCAACTGTCTACGACTCTCTCAGCTCGGTACTGGGCACAGTTACTGTTAGCGTGATCATTCAGGATGCCTTTAAATCCCCGCCTTCCCTCACATTCATGCTGAGATTCAGAGACATTCAAAGGAAGTTAGCATGACTGCGTGGCACCCCAGTTTCCATTACAGTGCTGGAGGTAAGGCAGCTACAGGGTTTGCCAGTGCCATCTTTCTCATCCAAATGTGCCCAGGGCTTTCAAAATCAGCATGGTTAATAAAACCAAGCACTCAACTGTGCTACATCAGTTAAGAGACTTCAGGTTGCAGTGATGTGTGAGTTTTCTTGGAAATTTTCTGGAAAATTTTCCAATGCAAATCAGGCTAATTTGCATAGGGTAATTTGCATGGGAAAGTCAGTGGAAAGTGATTTAATTTAATGTGTTTACTAAATACCCATAAAATAAAGAACAAAGCAAAAAATAAAATGAGCATTCCCATGTTCATTTTTTCTCCCAAAACAACGAACACATTTGAATTGAAATGTTTCAGGAAGCACACTTAATGCAATTCAAACATATCTTGTGAAAATATGGCCATGTGTATGTCTCTTCCATTGTTTAAATGTAAGAAACATACTACACATGGTTGACTTGGGATGAGTTTGCACAACACAACAGCCTCCCCTGTGAATAAGCTACACAGAGTGGATTGTTCATGACCCCTGACAGATGACTGGGCTTGCTGTGGATTGTTCTCCTCCTCCTTCCCCAGCCAGTATCCCAAGATCCTGAGCGGCAGAACGCGCCCTGTCTCTCCATCCCTGTTCTGATTGTGACCCTGTTTTTATCTGCCGGGGGGTGGGGGCTTTTTGGGAGTCCTGAATGACCTCCAGTGACAGCTGCTCCAAGCAGCATTTTGGGGGCACTGTCCTTGTCCTGTAACCCTTTTTTCCCTTTTTTTTTTGTGAAGCAGAAAGATGCATAACTAAAATCTAGCTTGTGTGGGTGCACATTTACAGCCGCCCAGCTTGCCTAATCCCTTTTCATGAGCACTTATCAAAAGAAGGGTGTCTCTTCCACACAACTATCTGTCAAATGTGAGTGAGTACCTAGAAGCCCAGGGAAGTGTGGAAAAGGTGGAGAGCACCAAGGACCATCAGAGCAATACTTTATAAACTAAAATATTCCACTGCCAAGGAGGAGCTGTACTTGCCACCCTCTTTCAGCATTTTGCTTTGCCTTCTCACCAACTGACAAGAATCAGGTGAACACAAATTACCTTAGCTGAGTCTTGCTTGGTCAATGACCATGGATGTCACCCACCCCACTTTCACAGTAGACACTCAACCAGACTATTGACTGGGCAAGACTCCACATCTGAGTAGGTCTAAGTGTGCACCTGTGAAAGACCTTTTTAAAAAATTACAGTTTCAATTGCACACATTTCTGCTACATATGGAGTTGCGTAATGCCAAAAGGCCAACAAAATTATAATCCA